AAGAACTCAAAACTCCAAACTTTAGTACTCTTAATTAAAAAAAATAAAAATTAATATTTTCTAAATTTTGAATTAATGAATGGTTAAACAAAAGTTTAACAAAAAGCAAGAGGGGCATTTACATACCGCCCAAATCATATGTTCCTAAACTTTAATTTATACATTAAAAATACCTATGTTTTGACTTTTAAATAGTGAAATACACCTTTTCATACACAAGGTGACATGGAAGAATTAAAATTTAGGTATCAGATATGTAATTATATAGAAATTGAGTGCAATGTATGCATCTCTTTCTAAATCTTTATCAACTACGAAAACTAACTAGCATCAACAAAGCTGGAAACCACAAAATCATCATCAACATCATAAAAATCAACAGCCCAACTCATCATCATCATCATCTTCCTCACCAAAAAAGTCGTATCTGCTGAAATGCTTCACTCTGAACCTCCATTCTTCTTTACCTGCATCAAATGACATGAACTCAGCTCCTTGTTCCTCAGTCTTCTTCTTCAACATCTCTATATATCTCTCAACCTTCGGGCCTCCAGTATATCTCTGCCCAGTTTTCTTGTTGTAGCATTTGATGTCAAGAAGAGTCACTTCAGCCGGTTTGTTTAGCCCTTGACCGACGGACGGCTTTTTGCTCTCGTCGCTGTACACGACGACCTCACGATGGTTGAACTGAACAATGGACTCGAGATCGAGCCTCCTCACATCAGTTTCGCCGAGGAATTTTATGCTGCCGTAGGCTTTGTGGCCGACGACGAAATCCTTCACGCGGCGACAGAAACCGGGCGCAGCATACCGGGCTCGGCACGTTCTTTGGCGGCGAGTTCGGGGATGCTTGGTTCGCAGAAGTAGTTGTCAAGGGAGAGTTTTGGCATTAGAGCTTCGATTTCTGCGCCGTGTTCATAAGAAATGGCGGCCTCGCTGGCTCGACGGCTAGAAATTGACAAGTGGGAGCCTTTGGTTCTGTTGGCATGGTTGTCTTTAAGGCCACTTGGGTGTTGAGGGGGTTTGGATGGAGTTTGTTCTGCATGGCCGCTCTCAGCTGGGCTTTCTGCAACATTGCATGGTGAGTAGTATAGAATAGAAAAATGGAGGGTATATAATATCAATATTGCAAATGAGAACATATGAGTATGGGATAGATAAGCTATAATAATTAGATGGAAGATTTACATGCATATCATTTAATTCCTAATTAATTTTATATGTCATTTTAATTCCTACGTATTTAGGTGTTTCTCAGCAGTAATACCACATACTTCTACGTTGGTATCTTAATATACTTCTATGTTGTATTTACTGAATACTATGTGCATTAAATCCATGACCACAAATCAATTTGGGATTTTGAATTTTTAATACAATATATTCTTCCATATAGTATATGAAAACAAGCATGATCATTGGATGAAGCCCAGACGCACAAAAAAAAAAAATTATATATAGCTCACCATGAAGATCAGCTGTATAAGATTCATCAACAGTGGGAGCAGATGGCGCTGCATGAATTTTACCTGGATAAATTTTACCTGGAATATAGCATGAAATATCAGTAAACTTATATAAAGAATGATAATTTATACTGCAAATGAGGATTCATAAAGCTGACCCAAAATAGTTTGGGATAAGGCTAATGATATTGAACTTAAAAACATTTTAGAAATGACAGAATGACACGATAATCAATTTAAAAGAAATCCATCAGCGCTTCGCAAGAAGAAGGGGCAGCCATGAATCCATATTTAGTAGTGGCAGATTATCTACCCATGCATTTGTATAATTTATCAGAAAAAAAAAAAAAAATTTCAACGAGTTACACTTGTTCCAACTCCCAACAACTTCGATCATAGTTTACCATCTTATCATCAGAGAAGACTCAAAGCATTATACATATTAATGGCATGCTATCAATACCAAAAATATTTTATAAAGTGCCAAAATAGTCCACTGACTATTTACATGTCATTTTAGTCCCATAGTCTATAAAAGTACCAAATTAATTCCTATACATTTTAAATTGAGGCTAAAATAGTCCACAGTGTGAATTATTTCAACCCATGTTAAAAGACTCTTAAGGACTAAATTGACACTACTACATCTTGCAAAAAGTCAGAGGACTATTTTAACATTTTTTTTATATTTTACAATTGGAAAGACTATTTGCAAGAGATGCACCAATAAAACTAACTTGACCGCAGTTTTTTAATATGGGATTTAGCAAGAAGTTTACCCCTTGAAAGAGAATTTTACTTCCATTATATGGTTATTAATAATCTGCACTTCAAGTTTACACATTTAATCGTTCAAATTGCTCAAGTTTAGACTCTGCCAAGGCTCACAGGAGCTGTTATTTGTATACATACCACACACTTCAAATTAAAAATTTGTGTATTATTAATATAAGTATTAAAGTTTAGCTGTTAGATATGTAAATATATAAGAATTGTGTGATATGTATACAAATTCCCAAAGTTTTTAACTGAAATACTTAATAACCAAATTGCTTGGCAAGTACTTTATAGAAGTTCCATCAGTCAAACTAAAAGCAATCAATAGTCAATGCTGTAAATGCCCACGAATGCAATAGACAATTGATTAAAAGAAAGAACACCTTAACTCAAATGTTTAGCATTATCCTTAATCACTAAGTAAATTAGAGAATAACATATATAAGTGGCTATCTATACCTTTAGAAAACATCAATAATCAGGAAAAAAAATTGAGCTTTACATATTAAAAAAGGGAAACTTACATACACAGCACACAATTCTTATGTATTTTACATATCTCACACCTAAAATTTCATATTGACACACATAACATTTTAGCGCTTTAAACCTATGCATGAAAAGGTGCATTTGACTTTTAAAAAAAATGGTAAAAGTCCTATTTTTGATGTGATATTAAAGATTTGAGTGTTATGTGTGTTAACTATGAAAGTTTAGGTGTGAGATATGTAAATACATAGAATTGTGCGCCATGTATGTAAATGCCCCATTAAAAAAAAGCTCGAATTGATAATAATATTGTTTTAGTTGAAGTCCCTTATAAGTATCACTAAGCTAATATAATTTCAGCTTGCACAACCTGCCAGTCATAAACAAGGGAAAAAAGAATGACACATAAAATCAGAAATTTTTAGATTACCATTGTCGCTAGATGAACCAACGATATTTTTTGACACTGATTGTTTATTAACATCATTTGTAGAAGGCCATTGTTCAATTGGACGAACAAATAGTGCCCCTGGATTCTCCCCTGGGATAATTAGTGCGTCTGCATTTGGAGTCGTTGGAGCCACTTCATCATCATTGAAGAATGGTACCTGTGAAATAACAAATTTTTATTAGCTCATACTTCTGCCAAAGAAGATCACATGGAGTTAACAATATACAATAGACAAATAATCAGGGGGCAATTACATGCATAACACTCAAAACATTGCTATTTACAAACCTAGCTCCATCCAATCCATTTTTTGAATTCCTACTCAAATATCAAAATTCACGAGAAAACCCAAATCCATGTTTTCCATTGTTATTGAATTCTCAATAGTTTGAACAAGGAACGCATAAATGCATCGGTTCAACAGTTCAAAAGATCACCTAGGAGTTAGTTTTGTAAATAGCAATGCTTCGAGTTTTGTCTACATAATTATTCAAATAATCAGTTGATGAAAATCGAGCAAGAGATCCCGATTTTTAGATTTAGAATAAGCTAACCCTTTCACTATTGCCTTTACGCTGATATCTCCTGGCTGGCAACCGGATTCTTCTCTGTGATACATGTCTAGAAGCCACTACTGATGAATACCCTACTGGAGCTTGTTTGTCAGAAACCTATAAAAACGAAATAAAATATTATGCCCATTTGAAATGTCATTTTTGGCACTAATAAAAAACCATTTAGCAAGATCAATCGCTATGTTTATCTAGCAAAAAATAGAGAAAGAAAAATGAAAAAGTGTGAAAAGTCTCCTGACTCTTTGCAGGGGGTCATTCTAGCCCTAGAGCTTATAAAAGTGTCAATTTAGTCCCAAATCCTTTTAATATAAGACGAAATAGCCATCACGAAGAACTATTTTAACCCCAATTTAAAGAATCTGGGGAGTAATTTGACACTTTATACACTCTGGGAATAAAATGATCCCATGTAATAGTCAGAGGATTATTTTGACACTTTACTCATAAAAAAAAATACATAATACAAGAGCATAACCAGTGGTCACTTAAATATAACTGGTAAGATTTCAAAAAACTTACAGGCAGGCTGGAAATTCCATATTGAACTGATGGAGCAGAAGAGCTCTCATGACCACCAATAGACATCTGAGGCATCACAGGGAGCATTCCAAAAGGATTTGTTATGGACGTGGGTTGCATGACATTGTTAGCCTGAAAAGCAGGGCTGCCACACAAGAAAGGCAAATAAGAAATTATCAGTCAGACTATCTATCAGAATATTAAAATATTTATTAATACAGAATTCTAACACTATCATATGAAGAATTCATTACGGGAGCATTCCCTGTTGAAATATTTTTGGGGTTATATATATATATATATATATATACACCACACAATTCTTGTGTAGAAGAATTAATTACGTAGCTAACATCTAAACATTAATGTTTACTAATGCGACACCCAAGTCCTTAAATCATATAAAAAATCTCATTAACATTAACTTTTCTAAACTGAAATAAACCTTTTACCTGTACATTTGATATGATTGAGACATTAAAATGCGATACAAGTAGCTATCAAAATGCAGGTGTGATATAAGTAAATACATCAATATTGTACGGTTCGTAAATCCCCCAAATATTAATTGGAAAATTTCAAGTGATTGCATTTTAACTTTTCCCAAAGAAGTGTTACATTTATTAGACTTGTTCCTCTGAAAAAATATTATTTATCATTGGCAGAGACATGTCCAAAATAACTGAGATGAATATATGAAAACCACCAGGATATTATCTGCAGGCATTGCAACGGGAAATTCTGTAAATGAACTTTATCCAATTACACAGACAGCAACGTCAAAAAAATTAGGATAAAAAGGATATATTGAGAGTAAAACTTAAGACTACGAAATTTCAATCTTAAACAAAAAAAGTAACTTAAACAAAAGAAATTGCAAAAACAACATTTGTATTCTACAAATTGTTTGTTTATATTTTGCTACAATAAATGAAAATGGACATGCTAATCCCAAAGGCCAATCTCCAAGGAAAATGGCTAATAAACATGTGTGAAATTGTTTTCAGTTCCAGACTATAAAAAATGACCAAAAGAAAATGTGATTTTGATATTTACCTAACTAGAGGAAATCAATTTTCTCTCAAACATGGCAGAATGCACCATCTTCACCACAATAAAAATAATTCTATGGATAACTAGTGATATAGTGTACTTGAACTCCTGAAACCTCATTATGCAGAATGGCTACGTGCATTCAATCCATATGACTGCTGCAAAAAAATCCTTAAGCACCAACACATCCCATTTTATTGCATAAAAGCTATTGTTTTATTAAGCATAGCATATCTTGTCTCCACGTACAGATATTGGAGGATCCTGCAATCTTCGAGTTTCAAAAAGTAAAAAAAAAAAAAAAGACATTATGGAATTCCTCGTGCACCACTGCCTCTTTTTATAACTTGACACTGATTGTTTAAAGAAAAAAAAGGGGAAATAAATGTATTTTAGAGTAGACAGATGCCTCCAACAACTCTAAAGAAGCTAACAACTACCTAAATTTATCAAAGTCAAAGATAATGTTCAGAATATTTGAATATATAACAGAAACATACCTCGGTCCAAAAGTTCCCTGATTAAAGGAGCTGGGGAAGCTACCGAACCCTCCAGAAGGAGCTGAAATGAAGATGGTAAATGTGAAATAAGAAGTTATCTGTATGTTCACGTATGACCTAAGTTACTATAAAAGGCACTTAAAATAAGGTTCACAAAGGAAATAAAAAATTACATTAATGATTTGGTTTACCTATTTGTGCCTGCCCAAGGTTACCAAAAGAAAAGTTACTTGATGGTCGTGCAGGAGCAGACTGTTGAAAAGGAGTGGAAAAGGAGGGCTAGCAAGCAGAGGTACAGTGAAAAAACAATGTCAGTTAGTTCAATGAAAAGAAATATATATATATATATATATATTAATTATAACATAGTAGAAAAAAATTAAAGCAAAAGTTACATTCAGTTCAAAGAAATTATGGGAAATACA